ATTCTTCGATCTTTTCAACACTTTGCATACTTCTCCTGATGCCAATTCCATCCTCTCCGTATTCTTCCTTTTTCGTTTATTTTTTTCTTCATTGTTGTTTTTTATTTCATTAGTTTTATTGACGTTCCATTTTTTCATTTTTCGTTTTTTTTATGTTTTCGTCCTTTCATTTCTGACGTCTTTTCTGACATTTCATTGTCGATGTCATCATTCTCATCATCAGTATTTATTTTCATTCTCTGCTTTAATATTAATCTCTCAACTCATTTTGTTCTTTTTATAGTTGAGTTGGCGTTCTATTGTATACGTTTTTTTTAACGCTTATCTTTTTTCCTTATTTAGATTTTTGCAAATTTGTTTTATCACCAAATGGTTTTTGGCTTTCTAAAAAATCTATTTTTTTTTTTTTTCAACATTTCACTTTTATTTGCTTCCATGTGTATGGTCAGTTCTCCAAATTTGTGCACGCGAAAGCACTTTGCGCTTGTTGGGTCCTTGAGCTAAAAAGCCAAAAGAATCAGCTTTTAGTAATGCAAACACCGACCGTTAAAACCGACACACATCATCGTCACGATGAAGCGCCTTTCACGTCGACCAAACGTTTGCATTCGACCGTTGCTTACTGCATATCTCTTTTTCACCTTTTCTTATTTTTTTATCATCTCCTCTTTTTCCACACTGCATTGATCCTAGTCTTTCACCCTGTGTAGACCATTCTATCTTTATCTCTCTCCCTCTCCCGCACACCCCGCCATTAACATCTGTAATCATCTTTTTTTTTTCAATTTTTTGTTCCCTCTTCTTTCTTTTCTTTTTCATTCTTCTTCCACATCTAACTTATTGTTACTTCTACAAGGGTGGGTTGAAAAGTTCCTAGGCTAACTATGAAGGCCTGATACTAGAGCTGTGAAATCTTGCATGCATTAATTCCAACTATTCTTATTAATAACTGCAATGTTTCTTTCCAGATATGAGGGCTGAAATGTTCATAGGCTGTCTATGAATTAGTGAGGTTAGAGCTGTGAAATCCTGCATGTATTCATTTCAACTCTTCTTATTAATAACTGCATTGTTTCTTTCCATGCACGAGAGTGGGCTGAAAAGTTCATAGGCTGACTATGAAGGAGTGATGCTAGAGCTGTGAAATCTTGCATGCATTAATTTCAACTCTTCTTAATAACTGCATTGTCTTCTTCCAATTATACTGACATCTGAATATTCAAAGAAGATTTTAAAGTTACTCGTATAGATTTGTATCATCGTGGTTTTATGAAGTATTTTTATTAGTAGCATCGTTGTGATATCAAGTACCTAGAAGTAAAAAAAAAGCATTTGGCCCCAAAGAACATTTATGGTTGCTACATTAGGTGATAATGACCCAGATTTATAAACAGTGAAAAAGTGATCAGCTGAATTTAGGAAGAGAAGAGAAAGTCTTGAAAATGACCCAATGTCTGGACGTCCTGCCACTGTAATCATCTAGGAAAACATTGATTGCCGTCACCACATGGTAATGGATAAAGAACTTCCCTTTGTGATTTGAATATTATTGAATCTGCAATATTATTAGCCCTTACCTGGCATCCCGGCTTCACTTAATTCGCACCAGTGCAATGTAGCTTCCCTTTGCTTTCTCTTTAAATATTTCACGGTAATTATTCTGATGAACGTTGCTCTATGGTCGTTAGAATTCATAAATTTAAGCGCAGTACTAGATTGGCAGAAAGGTCTCATCAATTTACAGTTGAACTGGCAAGATGTAACCGTAATTTCTAAGCTAACAGTTTATTTTCTCGCACTTAACGCCTATGCAACTCTCTTCCGCCTTCTTGCTTTCCAGCCAACATTGATCTTCAAAAATTGAAATACAATGTCAATCGTTATCGCCTGTCGTATTGATTCCTCTTTTATTGTTCTCGCTCATTAATAATGTTTATTTTTTTCTTATTCTTTCAGACACAGTAACCCCTTGTGTCTTAGTGGCTTTATTGAAATGATTTTTTTTAAATCTACGAATTTCTAGACATCTTCGGAAACCCCCTTTCTCCCCCCCACCCGTTTTGAATTAATAGTTGTCCTGTTTATATACGGGCTGTAACTCAAGTCTGTAAAACCTGGTCTACTCTGCTTAATCTTCCTCTAGGTATTGGTTAGAAGAGATGAATTTTTGCCTTTTCCAAGGTTATTAGTGGGAAATTGAACATAGAATAAGCTGAAATCGGAATGCAGATCGCCGATTTCATTTTCCGCGCAAATAACCGTTACTCTCTTTAGTGAACCTATTTAAATTCAATATTATTATTGTAAAATGTTAATGATAATTTCTTTTCTGTGAATCAAATGTTCATTCAAGGTTTGCAGGTTTATTTGAAATTGTCTTCTTACAGGATTTGATATTTTAAAGATGGATGCTCTTGCCGCAAAAAATATCCGTGGCTATTGAAATGACAAATGATACTCCATTCTCATATTTAAACTTCCAATCGTTTATTCAATTTTTGAGTTAATTAAGTAAAAATTTAATATTCATTCGTTACTTCTATTCATAAAAGTAAATGCAAATCAGCATCATAAAAGTTTTCAGTCTTCAATCTTTTGCCTTTTCATGTCTTTTTCTTTTTTACGTTCTCCCCTTTATTCCTTATTCTTCCGTAATTTTCATTTTTCATTCTCTCGCCTTTTTCTTTTACTCCTTCTCCCGCATTTTTCTTTTACACATACTCCCACCTTTTTCTTTTATTCATTCACCAACCTTTTTCTTTTACTCATTCTTGTGCCTTTTTCTTTTACTCATTCTCCCATCTTTTACTTTTACTCATTCTCCCGCCTTTTTTATTTTACTCATTCTCCAACCTTTATCTTTTACTCATTCTCTCGCCCTTTTCTTTATCTCTTTCTACCGCCTTTTCCGTCTATTCATTCCCGCCTTTTTCTTTTACTCATTCTCCCGTAATTTTCTTTTACTCATTCTCCCGCTTTTTTTCCTCATTCCCCCACCTTTTTCTTTTACTCATTCTACCGCATTTTTCTTTTATTGATTCCCCCACTTTTTTTCCTTTTTTCATTCTCCCGTTGTTTCGGTATTGTTCTTTTTTTTTTTTTTTTTTTCGCATTCTCCCGTCTTTTTCCCTCGTTCTTCCGTCTTTTTGTTTTTCTATTTTTTCTCATTTTTTACCCTAACTCATTCTCCACTTATTCATTTATACCTTCTAACGCTTTCTTTTCGTTATGTCCTTCTACTGCTTTTTTTCTTTTTCCCGTCATGCAGCTGATCTAGAAAGTGAACTTTTCTAGTTTTAACACCTGTGAAGCTTTTCTGCCTCCACTCCACTACATCAACATAACTCCAGGAGGTAAACTAAGTGTGCCTTCACCGTTTCTGTTGATATGGTGATTTTCTAAGCGAATGTATGGTGCACCTAGTGAGTGTCGAACTCACTATTCAGTCGTAAATGTTCGAAAGAGACAAGCTTGTTAGCCATTACATGACATCGAGGTGCCATTGATCTTCCAAGTGTAGCTTAGGTATGGCACAAGGCTGATAGTATGGGATCCCATTGAGATTCCTACTCACCTGTAATTGATCTAGCGAGATAAGCCTGTTAACCATTATACCAAGTTCAAGTGCCCTAAAAGATTTTCTAAGCGTAGATTAGATGTAGCACAAGGCCGAATGCATGGGACACCCAGTGAAGAAAGAACCCCCCGACTCAGTCGTAATTGATCTAGCGAGGCAAGCTTGTTAACCATTACAACACGTTTGGCTCCCCCACTTTTTCACTGTTATGAAGTAAAATGATTAAAATAAATCAATTGTTAAATCTACTGCTAGGAACATAAGTCGGTGTCGTATGTCGTGATAGACATTTTTTATCATTAAAATCTATTTTGCATATTTATATGTTTAGCATTCGGCCATGTATAGAATTTGGCTGCCACACCTGGTTTGGTCTTTCTGCTATTCATCTAGATAATCTTAACAAAATTCAAAGAAGAATACGCAAGGTTATTGGTACTGACCTTGCATCTCGGCTTCCTTCAGTTTCTAACGCTGTAACATATCTTCCCTGTGTGCTTTCTCTAAATATTTTCATATCACTCGTTCTGATGAGATTTCCTCATTCGCCCACCTCAACTTGACGAATGTTAGCGCTATACTAGATTGACGGTTAGGTCTCACCATTTTACTGTTGATATTCGTAGGTGTAATCGAAAGCTCTTCCTTTTTTCTATCGCATTGCTCGCTTGTAAAAATCTCTTCCGGGTTCTTGATTTTCTGTCAATACAATCTTCAAAAATTTAAATGCAATGTCAATCATCATCTTTCTCGCTGAATGCTGTTGTTTTTTTTATTGACCTTTCTCCTCAGTAACGTTTTCTGTTTCATTCTTTCCCAGTAAACTTCTTGCATCTTAGTGGCCTTAACACTTTTCTTGGGGTGAAATGATTAAAAACTATACTGCCTTCTGAAATCTGTTTTTTTTTTTTTTTTACTGTCCTTTCATCTCAGTACCATTTCCTTCGTTTCTTTCCCTCTCGGAAATTCGTCAGGTCTTAGTAGTTTCATCGCTTTGCTTGGGATGAAGTGATTATTAAATGTATAGATGTGTATGTGCGTGTATGTTTAAAGATATATAAGCATATATTCTATTACCTATTCGCCAATCTATCAGTCTGTCGAAAGTGTCTTTTATTGCGAATGTTCAGCAGATTTGCAATGCATCAAATTACCCAGGCAGTAAATGCAGGATTTTCTCCCAAATTTTAGCTTTTCTAGTTTTGAAAAAAAAAATGCATGCGTACGATCGGTAGATATAAATTTTTTTTTTTTAAATTCTTATATTTTTTAATATTTTTTTCTCTTAAAAGTCATTTGTATATAAAAGAAAGGGATTACTAAAAAGGTAAATAAATGTTGAAATTAATTAATGAACAGTATTTCTTTTTTCTTTAACAGCAGTGTATTTATTTTTAATATCTTCCCGCCTTTTTTTTTTCGAATGTCGTCTGTTCTTTATGGCCGGCTACAGTTTTTCTCCTTTACTTCCGCTCTTCACATCTTCCTTCTCTTCCAATATTTCTTTTATATTCTTTATTCTCGTCATTTTTTTTTGTATTTCGTGTTCGCATTCATTTCTTCTTTTTTAACTGACTAAATTTTTAAAAATTCTTTCCTTCATTTTTTTCTTAATCTTTTCCTATATCATTTGTTAGGTTTTCAAAATTCACTTCCTTACTAAGCATCACACTTTGTTAACCTCAAGGGGATTCCTGCATTTCCAATTTGGTCAAACATTTGAGAGTTTACACAAAACATAATTTTACGCAATTTCCTTTATTTTTATTCTTTATTTTTTATCTTGGCTATCTTTACATCAGTGGCTTTTACCACACACTTATTTTTTATCGATTAAGTTCTTGATTTTTTTTTTATTTTTCAACATTTCATTTTTATTGCGGTCATCTTATATATAAAGTACAGTGTGTATATGTGTGTTTGTGCGTGTGTGTTTGCTCCCACTGGTCGGATTTCAATGAGTCATAGCTCATTCAAAAGCCCTAGAAATGTTAGGCGCAGGGAACGATTTTCGTTGAGCTCAGATCCAGGGTTACCAGATTATGCGAGGTTAAAAATATATATTAACTAGGCATTATCGTTGCTTTCATGGTTCAAGGGGAGTAACTTATTTTCCAAAATTGTAGCTAGCTTAAAATTTTTGGTTTGGCCATCATCACAATAGCTAGGGAGGAGTAAGTGCGATAAGCATCAATAAGCTACAGAAGAACTCAAAATTGATCGCTGCATTTAAGTATTGAATTAATATTTAAGCTGACCTTTTAAAAATTCAACGTTAATTCTTATTTTGCCTCTTAATCTAAAGACGTATGTACGTAGATACTTATATTCTGGCAGTTCCTTAGTCTCTTTTAATTTGAAATTTGCTTTAATCCTGTCAGTGTAGACCTTCTTTTTTTTTTGTTCATGTCTTCTTTTACATCCTTTTTTTTCTTCTTCTTCTTCTTCTTCTTCTTCTTCTTCTTCTTCTTCTTCTTCTGTCTGTGATTTCTTCTTTACCTCTTTTGGTATTCGTTTTCCACTTTTTAAAATTATTTTCATTTATTATTGATTCACTTTCCACTTCTTCTTCTTCTTCATTTCTTCCTCTTCGTTATATTCCTTTAACTTATTCTCCACTTCCTTCTTGTTTCTCCTCCGACTTCTCTCCTTCTTCTTCTTTTTCTTTGTTTTAATCCTAATCTTTTTCTTTCTTTTCTCTTTCTTTTTTCCTTTTCTACATCTTTTTTCTCTTTTTATTTTCTATCTATTTTTATTTTTTATTTGTCTCTTTTATTCTTCATTTTGTTCTTCCTTCTCATTTTCTTCTTCTCCTTCTTTGTTTACTTCTTCTTCTTTTTATTATTATTATTATTATTATTATTATTATTATTATTATTCTCCTACTCCCTCTACATTTTTCTTCCATACTCTCTCTCTCTCTCTCTTCTAATATTTCTTCCTATTCTTCCTATTCTTATTGCACCCTCTCTTCTTCTTCTGCGCTCTATCTCACTCTTCTTCTCCTCCTCCTTCCCCTTTTTTTATATTTCTTCTGCTGTCTCTCTTCTTTTTCCTCTTCTTCTTCTGCCCAATCTTCTTCTTCTTCTTCTCTATTCTTCTCTCTATTCTTCTTCTCTTCCTTTTTCATCCTCTTCTTCTTCTTCTTCCTCAGCCCCCCCTCTCTCTCTTTGTATATTTTTTCTTCTGTCCTCCCTTCTTCTTCTCCTTCTTCTTCACGTTTCATTTCTCTGATAATTTTGAAAACTTATTTTTCCTCCATCACTTTTTTCTTCTTTTCAATAAAGATCTTTCAGCCCCACTCCCATCACCAATCTCTGTAAATGTGGATGTATTCCAGAATTATCGCACCCGCAAATTTTTTCAGTCTTTCCTGTTGGCTTCCACAAACGAGTGGACAAACACTTTCTTTAATCACAATTCAATGTTACATTCTCTCGCCTACCAACATTTCACTGTCCCTACACGCGCCGACCATTCACTGACCGACCGTTTTATAAAGAGGACGTTTTTCACAGCTGGACAATCGTATAAACACTCAGAAGGGACACTTGCATCAGGCTGACATTAAATGCCCTTAGTGCTTCTTTTATGAACAGGGAAAATTGAGCGAGTTTAATCAACAAAACTCATGGTTTTTGTTTGCAGTTAAACTAATAGCAAACACTCATTTCAACAGATGCTTTTAAGCGCATTTACGATCTGGGATATTTAAACGAATGTGTGAGCATGTACGTAAGAATCATGTGTATATACATTCATGTAGGTATAAACGTATGTATATTTGTTAATGTCATTGCTGTTTACTATGTAGACATACTTGTAAGTATATGTTTAATCACGTTGGGCCCTGACCACTGCTTTACTGGTGGTAGAAAAATGACTTAATGCCCAGCCACCGGTTGAACGGTGGGTAAACATTTGCGTCGTGTTTTGCTGTTCTTGTGCATCAAGAGCTGCAGCACCTGCCGGGTAGAATGGCGCAAAAAGAAAGAATTCTGGCGATAAAGTGAAGGCATGCAATCATACTCTCTCCCTGCTATGTATAATGCTTAGATTTTTGTAACTATTTTTATATCTACCTTGAAACATTACATACCAATTATAATACGAAATTTGACTCAGAATTTCAGGCCGAAGGATTAAAATTATATTGGGCCGCAGGGCTCAAAAGGTTAAGCACAATTTCAGATTATACCATATATATATATATATATATATATATATATATATATATATATATATATATATACCCTGACGTGACAAAAGTGTTGTTAGTGGTATCGATATGTAATGGGAGGTGGCACCAGCAGTTTTGAAGTCATGAAAATTTTCAAACCTATATACATTGTGCTCTGGCATCTGATGAGTCAGGGCGAAAAATGGGGTGTTATATCAAACTGCAACGTATTATCGGAAGTCAAAAGTGGCATTTTAGTAGCTGTCAGTCTCACTGTCTTCTCAAGTGAGCAATGTTGAGAGGAAAATAATTCAGGCCTTCAGTAATTCAAGAACCATGAAGAGAACGGTGAATAAGAGGGAACAATAGAGAGGAAAACTGCATCATAAGGTCCCAACAGGAAGAGGGATCAATATTTTGCATTAAATCTAAAGAGATCAATTAGAAAAGATCCAACTCACTCACACGTTGAAGAAGAAACGTTGGCTATACGAGCAGAGACACGACAAAATGATTTTGCAACACGACAACTCTAGGCCACATGCTGCAAAACGGGTGAAACCCTACATGGAAATTCTTAAATGGGAAGTCCTACCCCACACGCCCTATTCACCAGACATTGTCCCGAAAATGGCCAATGGCCTGGCTGTGTAACACTTTCATTCTTATGAAGATGTCAAAAAATGAGTCGACACATGACTCAAAAGACGTGTCGTTTTTTTTCCAACGTGGAATTCAAATACTGACAGAAAGAGGGGTAAATTAGTGATGGAAATTACTTTCAGTGACATGTTCCTTTTTTCTTTTCTTTTTTTTTTTTGTAAATTTTTGTAAATAAAACATTACTTTTCATGAAAAATCAGCGAGAACTTTACTAATACTATTTGGACAGTAAATTTCATAATGCATTCCGCTATTCAAGGCTTCATCAAATCCGAAAATGAAAGAAGGAAATGTTTGTATTTGTGTGTCTGCTTAAAGAATGAATCTTTGGATTACTTTTTCCACTAAGCTGGCGTTTCTCGTGATTAAAGAAGAAAGAAAATGAGTGACTTTTTAAAAAGCTGTTTTTCTGGTATCTTTTCTTTACAATTCTTAGTTTGATTCGAAAATTTTAATGTATTCTCCCAGCTTTTTGGTATCGAATTTAAAGGCAAATGCTCTTGTCATTATCAGAATGGCTCAAAAACTAGGAATTCATTTAACCTTTTCTGAAATGAATCCAATGCAACACCTGAAAAAAATCCTTCAGAATAGTTTGAAAGTAAAAGGTTTGTTTTTTGTTCTATCCATGTGTTTTCCGTGTCAAGAATATATGATTTTAATTTATGAATTTTAAATTTAAATTTAAATTTGAATGGCGAAATGCATTATCAAATCTATTTCATGAAATGTTTGCATTTGTCAAAATTTTAAATCTCTGTCGGGATTTCTATACCCCAATTTAAAAAAACATATACTTTCACCTTTTCAAGAAGTATAGGGAGTGCTACTATAAGTGAGGTACGCAGAGTGAAGTCTCTTTAACACAGATTGACCTTGAACGTTGCCGTGCATACACCTTAAGTTATATCACCTGATTAAGGCCGGATCATAATCCAGTTACAATACTTTTTGATCAGACCTCGTAGAGCATGAGTATCATATGATGGCATCAGTTGTGGCAAGAATATTCAATGCAAGGACGGATATTAGATTGATAAAAGAGCCAGGTGGATTCCAGTATTAAAAATGGTTTGGCACGATACAGTGAACCAACCCTAGAAATTGATTCGATATAATCATTCCACTTCAAGTCTGGAAAACCTGAGACCGCCAAGGCGCAATGAGATACTCTCTTAGAGATTAGTATCTGCCATGCCAATGGAAGGCAAATAATAGTTCTCTAAGACGACTAAGAGATAATATTGTACAATACTACAAGATGCAACAAAGTTACAATCTTAACCTCAGTACTCGAATCCTGTTCTTAAATAACCTCGTTAAATCTAGACTCTCACATAGCTGTCATGAATTACGGCAAACCCACTTAGGAATATACAGACTGTCAATTGTATCCAACCGCTTTCTCAATTCAGTGATTAAAAGGAATTCGACCGAATGAATTCAATTTATCTATTAAAGAAACTATTCTTCATAAGATCTTTTATACTTGGCCTCAAGAGAATTACAAAGAATTTCATCAGGCTAAAGTTATGACTACGTTGATTCGACATCTCATGCGCACGAAGGAACGAAACGCTGAAAAGTTTAAATTTAAATTTTATTTTTTAAAACGAACAATCAACAAACTTTGGATACATTTTGATACCCTTTGAGGGCAGTAAGATGTAGCATAGACATCGTTTAAAGTATATGAAATATACCACAATATAAATATATGAAAAGTTCAAACAAAACACAAAAGCCTTAGTATTAAACCCTTGTACAGGGTTATTGAAAAGTAACTCGTTATTTTATGTATGAGCCCCCAATCAGGAGTTCTGACTTAACACCCTGTGAATTTTTTCTTTGGGTTTGGTTAAAGGAGCATATCTAATATACCAAACCAAGACTTTAGAAGGTCTTGTTGGGCGAATACAAGAAGTTATGTTTTCGATACCATAAGAGTAACAGTTGAAATCAGTTGACGCCGTCCCTGGGCTGCTTAAGAAGCGAAATCTGGTGCTCATATCGAATTTTAAATAAAACATCATGCTTTCCTCTCATGTCTATACAATGGTTGCATGTATCTACAGATTTTACTCATGAAATGTAAACAAAGTATTTACATATTACTTTCCCTAAATATCAAGTAACATCGCAGGAACAATAGCCTACAACTAAGTGTCCATCCCAAAGCAACTAATAAAAATGATCTCATAAATTTCTGTTCTCACCATGACAACAAAATAAAATCTGGAATAAATCATTAAATTGTGTTTAAGAGTACTCAGAATTTACAGCCTTTAATATTTACAGGAAGAGAAGAAATGCAAAGAAAATACTTTGAAGCTTCTCCAATATACTAATTATTTCATATTCAACGTTAAACAAGACTCGTAAAATATTTAAAATTAGAGAAACAAACCTTCATGACAAACCCAATGAATGAAAATATATTGATCTACCAATCAACTCTATCGAAAAGATTTTACCTAAACTCTAAAAAATTTTCCACAACTACGTCCAAAACAATAAAAGGCTTAATAAAAAAAATAATAAGATAGAACTTAGAGGAGGAATTTACATTACCTGTAATAATTGTCAGAAGGCATACATCGGAGAAACCTCAAGGAATTAAACAAAAGATTATATGAACATAAAATTTCTCTCCGTGACTAGACTAACCACAATTTTGATTTAAAAATAATGCTACTTTAACCAGAAGTAATTTACAAAGAAGAAAATGTTTAGAAAATACTTTAATCGCTAGATCATCTACATTAAATTTGAGTCTAGGTCCTGAAACATTTCGTTTTTGTGGGGGTAGTGGGCGGTTCTATTAATACAATGTGGAATATTTAATAAAAAAATGATGGAAACAAACAAGAAAGAGAATCTAAAATAAACCGTTTAGATTATATATTGTATTTAAAAAATCTTACTCATAAAACGCAGATTGTGTGTGTGTGTGTGTGTGTCTGTCTGTCTGTAACGTTTATATATTGCATCGGATTTCCTACATTTTTCAACCGATTTCAACAAAACTTCACAGGACTACATAAAATTACCTTGTGGTGGTTCTGACAGCGGCAAAAATGGGAAAACACAATTGTTTTTGCACAAAATCAATTTGAAAACACGATTAAGAGACATCGTGAGAATGAAAGGGGGACAACTCACATCGGATTGTTTGTGTGTGTGGGTTCCTTTAAATATGGGATCGGATTTCCTACATTTTTCAGCCGATAAAACAAAAATTCACTTTTTTTTTTGGTAGGTAGTGTTTCTTATTCTCTTGCACACTTTTTTCTTTATTTTTAATATTCAGAATGCTTTAAAAATTCCATTTAGAAGACAATTGTTTATAATAAAATTCTATTCAATCGGTAGAAACTCATAACGAGTTAGAGTTTGGGTTTGACCAATTCTTAAAAAAAACAAAAAAAACTAATTAAGACATGCGTGTCCGTCAACATTAAACAATGATCTAACGATCACTACTGATTGTACGAATCCAAACATCGGATAATTCTTTATCTTTAGGGAAAGATAATGAAATCTAAACATACACACAAGTCCACCTAACTAAAAATAATAACCGAAAACTACTTTAGTTTAAATACACATGGTGTCCAATTTATTTTACTGTATTCAATAAGTAAAAATCATAAATTGTAAAAGATTATTATTACAGAAAGGCTACTAAATGAATAAGATTTGTTAGATCATAATTAATAAACCCAAATAGAGTTAATATTTTTTGTATTAGAAACAACGAGTGGAAAATATATTCAAATCAGAATTCTAATTATGAATCACCACAAGCAAAATATGCAATTTTTTTTACTGTATTCAATAAGTAAAAATCATAAATTGTAAAACTGAAAGATTACAGAAAGGCTACCTACATTTTTCAACCGATTTCAACAAAACTTCACTTTTTTTTTGGCATTTAGTGTTTCTTATTGTCTTGCACACTTTTTTCTTTATTTTTACATTGAGAATGCTTTCAAAATTCCATTAACAAGACAGTTGTTTATAAAATTATTCTATTCAATCGGGAGACTCATAACGATTGAAAACAATGTCTTTGTTTGA